CCCTAAACCCTAAATCCTAAACAATAATTGGGACCCTGGGAGTTGCTTGGTTCAGAGGATCAAAAGCCATGGACTCATTGCTTCCATGAACCTCAGCTCTCAAAACCCCATAAACCCTCTAACTACTGTTGATGATATTAGGGTCCCCCAAAAAAAGCACATAAGCAAAAACTAGGATAGGGATATCCCCTATGAAGCCCAATAAGGTTGGGATATCCCTATAAAATGCTAATGCTTATGCCCTTTCGGGCTCCCTAAGATATAAATCTTACATTGCCCTAGAGGGGGCCTAAACTCTGGGAAGTATATGGTATATCCTGATTATGGGTAATAAAGGATGTATATCATCAACCGTATCCCGGGTCGCGGTGGTTCTTTGGGATCTGTAGGGTCTCTGTCAGAAGTCGAAAATTCCCTAAACCCTAAACCCCCAAACCCTAAGCCCTAAACCCCTAAACTCTAAACCCTAAACACTACTCCCTAAACCCTAAACCCTAAATCTTTAGCTGCTCGTGGCTCAGAAATTTAAGCGCTATCGCATGTTAGGGCTTATGAAGATAGGGCTGACCCATATAGGCTCCCATTGTAGTTCCTTTTGGGGGTCACCTTATAAAAGCCACAAAAAGGAACTATAATGGAGACTATAAGCAGAGTTTAGGGTTACCAATCACTCAGAATCCGCAGAAGCTCAAGTAGCAAAACTTTCAAAATACAGTCGACAGGGCCTGCAGTTGCGCGCTGCACTTCCGAAGGAGTGCGGATGCTTCCTCGGCTACAATTGGAAAGCGCGCGCACTCTGTGTTGTTAAACCATATCCTCAAGTCCACTCTGAATCCCTAAGTCCTAATTTGTAAATAATTCAGACGCACAGGCAATAAAAAACAATCATAATCATACTAAATAACAAAAAATGGAAATAGTAACAACAACATCTCTATCACTGTCCCTGCGCAAGTCACCACAGCCCAGACCATGTGCAGGGTTCTGAAGCCAAGAATCGGTGCTGAATTAGGCGATGGGGTTCAGGGCTGAGAGCTCTGACGAAGCTGACCCCAAAACGGTTTAGGGTTTGGGGCAGCCAGACATAGAATCTGAAAGCCACACGCCACACGGTGCAGCCGAGAATCTAAGAGATTGCGGCTGCGCAGCGCGCAGCGAAGCGTCTCGTCTTCTTGGCCCCAAAACCAGGCCTGGAAACCCCAAACCTTAGACCCGAAACCTTAAACCCGAAACCCTAATCCGGTCTTTGGGTAAACCCTATACCCCTAAAGCCGTTAGCCCGACACGCTGAACCCTTGAATCATCGAACCTAACCACTGCTGCCCTGAAGCTTTCGACAAAACCGGCCCTAACCCTGAGCAATACTATTCCTCACCCTAAACCCCTATGATAGCTGTACCATAACTCTTATCATAGCGCGTAACATCCCAGCCACTCCCAAGCCCCCCAGCGCCGCCTTTCTCTGCAACGTGCCCATTGGACCCAGCGCGCGGAACTCTTTGAAGACTTTAGCGAGGTGGGCCTCATGAGCTTCACAGATGGGGCCTTTTCCGGTATTTAGGGTTTAGCTAAACCCTAAACCCTAATTGGGGGTTTTGGGGTTTAGGGTTGGGGTGTCTTTTGGGGTATTTAGGGTTTAGTTAAACCCTAAACCCTAATTGTGGGTTTTGGGGTTTAGGGTTGGGGGGTCTTCTGGGGTATTTGGGGTTTAATTAAACCCTAAACCCTAATTGCGGGTTTTGGGGTTTAGGGTTGGGGGGTCTTTTGGGGTATTTGGGGTTGAATTAAACCCTATAATAAACCCTAATTGGGGGTTTTGGGGTTTTAGGGTTGGGGGGTTTAGGGCTTCAGGGGGCCTGCTGAAGGATTTAGGGGGTATTGGGCTTTAGGGATTTGGGTGTTTGGGCTTTACATAGGGCTTACAAATTGACTTCGGTTTTCAAAAGTATAACGTTCAGGACTCGGAGCTTGCCGGTTTTTTAAGTTGGGATGGCACTCTCT